CACTTTTACCCACCGAGCATATACCTACATTCAGTTGAATCGATAGGATATCTGCTTAGGGCAATGACCAAGTCAACTGACACATACTGAAAGGCTTTCTATATTGCTTCGGTAGCCGCCTTTCTCGCGCCTGCTCGATAAGAACGTACGTATGCCCGAGCGGCTTCATGGTTCTTTCCGAACAAGCAGTTCAAATCCGTGACCACCGTGGGGTCAGCGTATTTTGTTTTGCCGATCAAGTCCTCCGATAATTCCTCTGAGGGGGATAGCTGCGGGAAATGCATGTGGCACTGTTGAGTATCTATTCGCCAATCCCGAGGGACCAGATAAAGTCGTTGGAACAAAAGAATTGTCGTCAAGAGCACGTTGCAGCATCGGGCCCATTTATATGAGCTCCGCTGGGTCAAGGTATTTCTGCTCATATGTGGCTACCTTTTTTCGTATGTCCCTTCCGTGGGTTTGGAAAGCCCTGCCTTCCGAGGGGTCTGTAAACATGCAAGACGTCTATAAATATTTCTGCCAGTTGCATGAATTTATCGGCCATCTTCCATGCCGCATCACCAGCAAAATGCGTGGGAGTAGTGTAAATGACATGCAAGCCTAGCAAACGGCAAATACCGCGACTGGGATCAAAGTGAGGGTTTTGCCCGTCCCCGGAAACCCTTGAACGATTAAAAAACGGTCCGGGAATCGGGAAAGCGACTTTATGACGTTATGCTGGGAGGCTTTCCAGGTTATGCCGGGGACATTGAGGACAATGTTGATCGCTGCCTCAATCTCCCCTGGGTTAGAAACCAGAACGGCAAACGGATTGATAGCCTGCCGAGCACCAGAAGAGTAGAAATTTGCCATCGTTCTTGGATGGACTCGCAAAGATGGTTCTTTGCCTCTACTTGCCGCTTGGTCCACCTGCCTTCCACCATTGGCCCATACATAACAAGGACAGTGAGCGGCCTTGGTGCGTGGATATAGACCCGCGTTTTTTTCCCTTTGCGAATCGCAGTACCTTTTGTATTGGCCCATTGTGTCGGTCCAGTCGTCGCTGCCGATCAGCAGATATACTGCCCTTTTGTCGTCACCAGCGTTCCGCGAGGCAGACGCGCCTGGAGGGAATTTGTTCGCTTTGCCCATCTTGGCAATCGGATCTGAGTCGGTGCTCAGAATCGGCGTGGAGTAAGAGCGGTCGTGAGTAAGGGATGATACCAGTGTTCTTTGGTATCCAGCTTTCCGGAAGGAATACATTAGCTTATTTGCCATCAGGGTCCATGATTCGCACGTGGAATTGTGCATGTTTCCACTGGGCTCCATTGAGATATATGGCCTCCTCTGTCTCACCCTCACAGATAGTAATTAGCGTTTGGGCGTCATCCTTTTCTCTAGCCTTGTTATCCGCAGATTAGGAAGGCAACGGAACCTGACGTTTATTAGTGTGTGTGTGCGTATGGTGAAGAATGAGGACCCACGTAAGGTTGGTAAGAAGATTTTTCGAAGAGTAGGTCTACCCGGCCATAGCCGTCTTCAAAGGGGGGCAGGTGATATATGTGACATTCAGCGCGTGTTGGAGGTTGTCCTTTGCTTGGTTCAGTTCGATGAGTGGCAATCGTGGCTTCTGCTTCTCGGAGTGAACGTCGGGTTGCCTCTAGCGCCTCGCCCGTAGCTTGCTGCGTCGAGTTAACTTCACTTAGACACAAGAGAGATAAGTGGTGAATTCTTCTTCCAACTTATTCCTGCTGAAGAATACAAAGAATCATGAACGGCCCCAACAGAACTGTGAAGAAATCAGTGCCGAAATATATAGCTGACCCACTTCAATCATTCATTGCAATGGACAGTACGAATCTAACCCCCAAACAATCCAGACCAGTCTCTATATAGTTATCAACAACCGGAACAATCAAAACGAAGAGAAAATATATGCAAAAATCTATAATGCTAACCTAAACCGTCGAAAAATAAATCAACGGATTCGACCCAAGCTCTCTTTAGGTATGTATGTACAAAATATATAAAACAAATATCCAAAAGATAAGACAAACAAGAATTGTATCAGTTGACAAAAATACTCGAAGAAAAAAGAGTCAATCGTATGTGAAGAAACGTGTTGACAGCGTCGGATATCCTGAATCATGCATCGCTGTGAAAGAGAAATAAAGAAACCAAACTTGCAAAGTGAATATTTGAGCAGAGAATAAGAGTGAGTATGAGAAGAATATTGAATGTAATAGGAAGAAAGGAAAAATGACAAGGAATGAGTGGTATCGAAGTGTATGAGCAAAAGTAAAGAAAAGGCATCGTAGACACGACATGTTAGAACGGTAAGATACGTGGTGCGTAGTTTAATTATTGATCAGACAGGTCGTCGACTGTCAAAGTCGACGGAGAAAAGAAAATTCGGGATGCGTGGCGACGTATGAAAGTGAGTTGGATCAATAGTTGTAGTAGGTCAAAGGAAAACGGTATCGAAGGTAGCGTATGGATCTGTGAGAAAATAGGGTGCTCCATAAGAGTTAAAATCATAGTTATAATGGAAGTCTTCCGTTCCGGTGTCAGTTGACCGGCATCCTTGATTGTCGAGATGCAGAACGTTGGCCGCTCGGGGTCGTACGTCCATTGGCAGGAGGGTGAGGCATGGAACTGAGTCGGAACTTGCCCCTCGGCCGACTAGGAGTACCAGCCCGTTGATCCGAAGCCGGTGGCTCTGGCCAGTCATGCGCAGCAGGATCAACCGGGGACGGGATCTTTGGCAGTGGGCAGTTGGGAGGAGGCACGGAGGGTGGTCCGACGGTAAGCCCCGGCATACTCTTGCGTCGCGGCATGGGAGGGCCACCGGGACGGCCACCAGAATCGGCACGATGGAGGACAGAAGTCCTGTTGGGTTTTTGATCGCGTTGAGCAGATGGATCGGGTGCACCTGGAGGCAAGGGTGGAAGGGGCGCGTTGACGCGTGACTCGATAGCTTCGTTCTTGATGGCGCTGAGGGGTCGGGATGAATGCGACGTCGTCGGCGGGGCCGCCATATGGTTCTTGGGGATCCGAGAAAAGCGATGTGGCTTAGGCTCCTGGCTCCGCTGGGGATCTGCGAGGGAGTCCTCGGAGTTGGAAACGCGCAATGGCTTTCTCGGGGTGTCATGACTGGGCAATTGTTGTTCGTTCCCGTATCCCGGCCCGAAATTACTCGGGGGCTTCCCTGGAGACTGAGGCGGAGAGGAGAAAGTAGACATGATCTCGGCCGGATCAACGGGCATATCATTACCGTGCATAGACGGGGGTATACGACTCAGTCGAGTTGACCCATCCCTTGCCGCAAATCGCTGGCTGAAGGATGGAACGCTGAAATTTGGAGCAGGGGGCGAGGCACTTCGCAGCAGAGGGTCTGGAGCGACGGACTGTGACCTGGGAATTTCGGGGGTTTCCGTGGTTGCCGCTTGCTGAAGGTTCAGCGACTGTCTCTTCCGGGGAGTAGACAAGATTGGGCTGGCAGAACTATCTAGGGCAGACAGCACGGTGGAGATGGCGCTCTTCTCATTCTTCGGAGGCGACATTGGAACGCCTCCCGGGGAAACTGAGGAGTAAAAGCGCCCTTGTCCAGTGCCACCGACGGGCGTAGTCACTTCGGTGTGGGTCGTCGAGATGGACTCGGAGCGAGATTCAGGACCACCCGGCATGACCAACGACCGGCGGTGGTGTGAAACATGTGAGCTCCGGCGAGATTGATTGGTAAGAGTTGACTCTTGTTCATCGGAAGTAATCGACTGCTGAGGCTGCAGAAAAGTTTGCGAAAACCGGTTCGGATCTTTCCTAACCAATTGACGGGCACTGGTTTGAGAATGTAGCTGATGTTCCATATCATCGTCAAAGACCCGTTCGGTGACATATTTCTTACCACCACGTGCCTCGATCTGGGCTCGAACGGCCAAAAGCCACGAACTCAGGTCTTCGGGGGTATGAAAGACGAGTAGAAAGCTGCGCGCGAGTCGCTTGGCGTGTGATCGATGGAACCCAAACCGCGATAACAAGGGTCGATGCGTGTCCGTGCTTGTGGACGGCTGCTCCTCCGAGGATTGCGACACCTGTAAAACCCAGTGCTTTCCTGGAATCGCATCGCTGGCGAAAGCCACAGACTTTGGGCCGAGCTGCAGCATCTTCTCAGGAAAACGGTCGTGTTTCCCGCCGGCAGAGTACTGTAGAATGTAACCGCTTGTGGTCAACACATAGATCTTCTGCGACCATTCAGTCTTCCCGATTGTATCGGAGAGGGTGCGTAGGTGTTTCCTTTTCTCCTTATCTTCCTTTTTCTTGCGACCTGCAGCGTCGTCGTTTCCCTTGTTTGCATTCTGAGCCGAATGGTCCTCATCGCGCTTGGCAGCCGAGGTTGCGTGAAATCGAAGAATTGAGTCAACTGATAGTCCGGGACACGGCAGAGTATCATGTCTGATGGACTGAGGAAACGCCTGGAAGAGAGGCGGCGGTTTCCACGCGGTATCATCCGAACCCGGTTTGTCCTCGCTCTGCCTTCCACGAGACTTAGAGGGCGTCTTGGCGCGATGAGGGGGCTCTACTGCCGAGGAAGGCACCGCAACTGGGGTTGAGGAGGATATAGGCGACAAAGGCGCTGAAGGCCCCGGCTCGCCATTGGGCGCAGAGGGCTGTACCTCGTCAATGCCTGATAGCTTGGCTTCACTGGGCGCTTTGCGCGCAGTCTTTTCACGACCGAACAGGCCGCGGAGCCCCGATTTGGAAGATTGACGCTTCACCGGGGTTGGCTGCAGCGGGACCCGTTCGTTGTGCTCTTCGTCATTCTGATAATCCTCCGGTCGTGGCCGTTGCGTGCCGCGAGGAGAGGTAACAAGGAGTGGTCGAGAGGTTGGACGGCTGAAATTGGTTTGTAACGGCGCGAGCGGTTGACCCCTTCGCTCGCCGACCGATGATGGAGACTGATCATTTTCCAATGCCATTCTCCTCACACTATATGCAGGGCCCTGCCCTTCGTTCCTGGAGCCCGCAAAAACGGGGCTTTCAATATATTGTAACTATGGTATGATGTCGTAGATCCTCCGAGCGGGCAGCGTCACTCGTGAACGGTAGTCTCGATGTGCGAGACACAGGGAGTGATAAAAAAACGTAGGGACGCGATGTGAATGCAGCGACTGTATCATTGAATCGAGCATGGAACGGCTGGAGAGAGCGAGTGGAGGTATCGGTTGTCTTGGTCCACGTAGGTGTCGAGGGGAAATCGCATGGCACTTGGAGGGTGGGCAGACAAATGCGGCGGAATCGTCGCGCATTGATTCCGGCGCGAGAAAGACGGGCAGCAACCAATTGATTGCGTGGTGAGCAAGGGCGAAGTCTGCAGGCGCAGCCCCAATGGATGGAGGGGATAGGGCTGATCCGAAGTAGGCTTGTTCCGCGTGGACTGCAGCACACGGCTGAACTGGCTTTTGAGGCTGAAATAAGACGGCAGGAAGTGGGAAACGAGACTTATTCAGCCCGTTGCGGTAGATCAGTTGGGGCGGTCCGGCTACTGCAGAGCCATCATCGTCATCTCTAAGGAATTGGCCGTGGTAACGAATCAGTCAGTCGTTCAAAAAAAGTACAGGGCAAGGGAAAAAGAGAGGGATGTTATGGACACGAGAAGAAGTCCAGACTCTTTCCCCCCCTCCCATTCAAGTCACTAACCCAGCGTAATAATTTTTTCTCTTTTCTTTGTGCTTAAATTAAAACTGAAATTGGCCATGCACTAGTTCCGTGACTAAGAAAAGCTCACAATGTTAGTCGCAGCGAAATGGTGAGCAGATCTGAAACGGTTGGTCAGAAGCGAACCCCTGAGTGGAGAGAGGATGGATGAAGCAACAGGCAACGAAGAAGTCGGCAGGATTGTGTCCAGACCCGAGCCTGGAGATGCGCTATCCCGACGGATCTCCCCATCGGCAAAAGAGTCGCAAGACCATCTTTGAAGAGAACTCGATCGTCCTTAACGAGAGTCACAGGCTGAGGCCCCCCCCTGAATCAGCCCCTCGAGGGGGATCCACACCGGATAACGGTTTTCCGCTAAGGGGATTAGTGTGACTCTGATCAGCCAGGCGAAACCTCCCTAGGCGTTCATAAAAGTGGAGTTCTCGAAAATAGTCGATGGACGGTGGTGTTGCCGAGCCCAGATTGGGCGCGACCTTTTGGAGTCTCGACGGAGGGCGGTCCATCTGAGTCTGAGAGGATCAGATGAAGATGAGAAGTGAGATCGGGGTCCAAACAAACCTCAAACAAGCAACAACACGAGGGTTTATGCACGCTATGCACTGCAGGGCTTAGGTGGCTGACTAACCCGCCCATGCCGAAACAACAAACTTTCATTTTCTGTTGCCCTCGAAAAAAGACAATAAGAACAAATTTTACATAACATGCTGCATCATGAACGAACTAACTAGTTGAATGCCAAACTATTAAGTAAGCCCTTACGTCCGGGATCCCTCCAGCGCAAGGATCTATCCACATTTCTTGCCCTTGTCTTGGTCCACCGAGCCCATCATCTCCGCCGCCTCGTCGCAGTGTTGCGCCATGGTCAAGTCCTTATCAGTGAGACCACGGGGGCGATGCGTTGTCCAGTGGACATCAACAGAACCAATCCTCTATAATGAGTCACTAACATTAGCATCTTCTCCTCGAGATGGTCACTTATCCCCGGTTTATGTATTACTTACCACGGTCATAGTAGGGTGATGTTTTTCGGCCGCACTCTGCGACGCGATGACATTGACAAAGCTCTGTTCGTGTTAGCTTCACCCTGGGTCGCAGAAAAACAGGTGATTCCAGGAAAAACTCACCACTGCCTTGAAATACGTCTTGAAATAGTACGTCTTCAGCACGCCCGTTCCGTCCTCATCCAGTTTCCAACCGTTCCCGACCAGTGTGTCCACCCGGGGCCGCCACTGCTCAACGTCGATACCTTCCGCGAACTGGGGCTCAGAAGCCATAGTCGATAAGCCTCGAATAGCTATTTCGAAAGATCGAGTGTTTTTGCGATGAGGAATGGTGGTGGTAGCGGCGCGGACAGAGGATGACAATGGGCGGAGGGAGCGAGAGGGAAGCGACGACAATTGAGGGGTGATTGGGGTGTAACCACGATTCAAATGGCAGATGTGTGAGAACAGCGCTCGACTGGGGCGTTGCACAGAAGTCACTATGGATTCCATGGTGTGGGAATCGCCAGGCTGGTCTCAAACACAGAGTGTGAACTGGCCGAAGCTCCATTTGCTCCACAGTTGCGCTCAACAGCTCGTAGGTCACATGATCGCGGTGTAGCGGTGATGAGCCTCGACGTTACAGCAGTGCCCTGCCCATTAATTAACAGAATATTGGAATTGCTACTGTTCAGGGTTTTGTATTTGTTTGCGTTCCCCTGATTAATTTAACGGCCCAAGGTATCTGGCGCAACTCTGCCCGCCAAGTGCTTCAGAATGATGCGATGCCACGTGTTGTGGAATCATTTTGCTAGATCCTTCTACCAGATGACAAGTAACTCCCAAATACAGGCAATCCCCGAAACCCAGTAACGTTGATGGTAGGTTTGGCGAACAATGAACGCCCCTTCCGCAGCTGGTCCGATGACGTCGGAGGAGTCGCCTCGGGATTGTGACGTCGTGCTCCAAAGCGGGTATCTCCACACGATGGAGATCAGTCGATGGAGTATGTTCCCCAGATCGTGCCTTGCGGACAGTCGGACACATGCTCAGTTTCCCCGTGGTATTTTCGGAAGAGCCAAGGAGGTCCCTGTTACAAACGGTAGCATCGCCCTAAGTTAAATTAATAATGAGGATTCCGTATAGAAGAAGATCTTCATATCATTGGCGTTGTAAAATAAACCCGAGGCATGGTATACACAAGAACAGAAGAAATATAGACTTCCACTGCATGAACTCCCCAAAACAAAGTATACAAAACATTCACCAGGGAATTTCAAGCGCCATGCTGCAATTAAACATTTTCTACCAAATCCAGGCTCGTCTTCGAAGTCTGAAGCCAGAGCTGATGATCATCCATCAAAGGAACCCTGTCTCACCCTAAACATTGTATTTGCGAACGTGAGTGTCTCATACTCGACGTACACATTCTTTATCTTATTCGGTTGATCGGACCCAGTTTCTCGTTCTTATACGCCCCCGTAGGACAGGCTGTTGTTGCGCGAATTTCCCCGGGACGCCACGTAGCTACCGGGACGACTTCCAAAATTCTGGCGGATCCGCAAGTTTTGTTGCGATCGTGCAAAGGAGTTGGCTCGAGAACCGGAGGGGATTTTAGAGAGTCGGCGTCCGGCAGACTGGATCTCGACTCGCGCATCGGACAGTTGCTGGGCGAATGGCGACCTCTTCCGAAGAACTGGACCGTACCAGTAGATCACGTACACGGCAATAACAAGTATAAATGATATGCAGACTAGGTGTCTAGGTTAGTTTTGTATCTTCTGAGAGGGCGTATGGAACCGAAACTTACATAGAATAGTGGACGCATATTCCAGATGACGTTCACCGCCAATATCTAATGAGACGTTTGTCAGCAATTGAATGAATAGAGCTCATGGGATAACTACTCACTGGTGTAGAAAGGCGTGGCAGGAATCGTGAGCACACCAGCCAGGAAGTCTCTGGACCATCCGTTTCCACCGGTGGCAGAAGCCGAATAAGGACCGTAAGCACAAATCATGTAGTCGATGGTAGCCATGTAGATGCTATAGTTGGCAATGCCGACAACTGCGGAAAAGATCATGGTACCTATCCAATGCACGTGAGGCAAGCTGGTCCACGCGAAGCCGATCAATCCAATTGGCAAACAAGGGGCCGTGTAAAGCAGCCACCACAATCGCGACTCGTATTGTGTATGCTCGTCGTCTGGCTTCATTCGCCGCTCTCCAATGTTCCTTCGAATGACCGGGATGAAGGAAAGCCACGCGATAAAATATCCGATAAGGATTGGGATAAAGGCCAGGCCTTTAGCGACAGTGCTGAAGTTCCACTGATCATATACAAGGCCAAAGGACTGGATGAAGATAAATATCAAAGCGTCGCTGAAACCACTGAGTAGGGACAAACACAGCACGATAGGTTCTGTCAAAAACATCTTGAACGGCCGAACCCAGGTGACGAGAATTTCCCTGGCAGAGAAGCGTTCACGGAAGGAAACAAGCTCGTTGGGTCCGTAGAGATTCGGCTCCTCTCCACTCTCTCTCTTCTTTTTGGCGATTCGATCCATCATGATTGTCGTTCGAGTCTCGGGTACCAACAGTAGGTGGGCGACTTGCACAAATCCTCCAAATATGAGCTGAATCCAGATATTCCAACGCCAAGGAAGATAGGCTTCCACAAACCCACCCACAACTGGGCCCAGAGCTGAGCCACCGACGGAAGAAAAGACAACGCAAGCAACAGCGTATTGCTGGTCATCAGCCTCCCAAAGATCGGCGATCATGCCCAAGGTGACGGAGCCACCAGCTGAACTTAGACCACCAAGAGCACGGCCAACCATGATCGAGGCAAAGTTAGGTGCGAGCGCAACGGGGAGCTGGAACACGTTGACGAGAAACAAACTGAGTTGTAGAATTGGCTTTCGGCCCAGCTCTTCACTCCAAGGAGCCCAGAGCTCACAGCCGAAGGCGTACAAAACCAGGAAGATCATGGCACCACACCGAGCGGCCTGCATACTCACTCCAAACTCTTCGGATATTCCGGTGGCGGCATTCGAATAAAGGCTGGTGTTGAAGTTCATCGAGGTCTGGACAAGGAAAATCACGATGATGATCATCCACTTTCTCCATTCGGGGAAAGCGTAGCCAAGTTGGTCGTAACAATTTTCTTCGGTCAGTTCGATCTTTTCCGAAACAGTATGCTCGAGCTGATGCAAGGTCGTTCCAGCCGCCGGGTCATTAGCCAAGCCGAGTCGAGACTTAGGGAGTTGTGGAACGTCGTCTTTTTCGTTGTCGGGGAGAGCGTTCGCATCCGTACGGGTCGAAGAAGATGCCTCCGAGCCATCCTCCTTCTCCCTGTCCATATTCTGACGGGGAGGATTGGACATCACAGTGACTAGGAAAGTTGTCAGTAACAGCCATCTTTTCTTCTGCTTGGAGACTGAAAAGCGGAGATGCAATGTGAATTGAATTGTGCCGAGGTATCTCACTACCTATTTGTGATGATAAAATACTTACCCAATGAAGTAAAGTGTTCTCGGCCGACCAGATAATTCTAGATCAGTATATAGAGTAAGGCAGGATAGAGGGTAAGATGAAGTTGTGGTGAGAAGAGGCGGGAAGGATGCGGCGGGATGAGAGAGTTAAATAAGATGGAAGGAGGACCGGACGGAGCAAAAGAAAAAGAAAAACCGGGGATTTAAATGTACGAATCCAGGGAAGGATATAGAACGCGAGGTGACTGGCCAGGCCATGCCAGGCAGGAACCCCCGACGGGAAGGAAAAGTCAAGAGAGTCCCGGTCAAGTATGGAAATGCGACTTCTCGGGGTTTCCGTCGCCCTCCGCCGGTTCGCTTCGATATAGCTGCACATGATCGGTGCACTTAGATCCTATCGGACCAATCACGCCGTGGGCCAGATTTGCGGTTGCATAATGGCAAAAGTGACCTCCATTCTTGATTTCGGTCCCAAGATCACTGTTCCTTCCCCCCTCATGATGCTGGTGGCGCAAACCCTCTGGAGCGAGATTTGCGACATACGCCAGGAACCCCCTCCGAGGAAAACCCAGCCAATATGGTGTGGGTTGAGAGAATTCTACTTGCCATGCATGCTAAAAGGTTCTTTGGCTGCAGGCTCTCATTTCCCTACAGCTGTCTAGTATCTAGTGCCGGTACCGTGGGATGGCATATCCTCCCGGCATCATGACTTGACTCTCTAAGTGGCGGAGATTGGGCAAAGTCTCCACAGCACCCAACAGATGATCAACTGCAGGCCGCAAGAGGAAGAGCTTCCCCAAGATCTCGGCATCTCCACTCTGGGTTGCTGTGAGAGAACCGTTCTGGGCCGAGAGACTCGATGGAATGCCCGCTTCGGGAATCGTGGTATCGGACGCCATCGGGCGCAGGCCCACAATTGTAACGAAGGTGCAGGAATTGGGTTGCAGCTTACAGAAATTAGATTGGCCAGACTTTGGTAGGAGTAAATAAACAGTCAACAAACAATTTTAATTTTCTGGGGAAATGAAATACGGTCAAATGTATGCGGACTATCAGTGACTAGGGCTAGTCGGGTGGTAGGCTGCACGCCGTGACGCAAGGAGCTGGCATGGTGGCCATGGATTTCCCCCAGGGAGGCGTGAGAGAAACCTTAAAGGCTCCAGACGGTTAAACAAAGATGGCTAAGGTGACTATGACTATATGTTGACCAGGGTGGTGGTCAGACAAAGAATTTGGGGAGAAGGGCTTACACAGGTGTACTCCGTAGATTGATTCCATGTTGTGCCCCCGGAGGTAACACGGGATGACGTCAATGGGCGCCAACAACATGATCGCCGCCCAGGGACCAGGTGGAATTATCCAATTTAATGCTATGCATATTGTGTACGGAGTGGAATTAGAGTATGTCTCTGTATATTTTTCGGACTTATTTCGTAGAGGTAAGACACCGTCTCTCCTCTTTTCCATTTACTTTACATGACTATTTTCTCGCCCCCAGTTGTCATCAGACTAGAAGGATAAAGAGGCCCTGTGGTGCATCAAATCCAAGGCTCGACAAGTCGGGGTGGCCTTAAAAGTCGCGATCACCAGGAGATTGTAGTCCTACGTGGTGCCACTCACATCATAATTCACAACTGTATGGGCTAGCGGCAACAAGCACCCTAAGGCGCCCTTAAAGCGGCTGATTTGCGAACCGTCCCAAGCTAAAGGCCTAGCGGTTCGAGCCTAAGGCAATCCGCTGAGGACGCGAACATCCTGACTCCACTTATGTCAGATGGGAGGGACATACAGTACTGCGTGGATCTGTACTCCGGGTGTCTGCCAGTCTTCAGTGTGTGACGACAAAGGATAGAACACGGAGCGCTCTCCTTATTGGGAAACCCGTTCGACATGCCACAGAAAATCACGTGTGTTTTCATCCTCAGGCTGCAAGCAGTGAGGGCACACTTAGCCGCATACGGCAAGCCGGCCGGAGGTAACCGCCCGAGATAGAGCGGGCAGAAAGAGTGACCGCCTTCCAAGGGAGGGGTCCTCCTTCAACCAGTCAGGACTGTTTGTCTTACTTCGATGCACATCTTGTCTCTCTACATTTCTCCGTTCGCAGCGAGAATTCTCAAATTAGAATCGGCATCAACGCTCTAGGCTGCTGGTTTCTGAATTCCATTTCATCATCTCCCACGTTTCTAGGGATGTGTCCTGATATTAACTCACTTCCCCCCTCCCTCTCCTCGACCTCCCCGCGTCAACCACGGAACATCCCCACTTCGTCTGACTCCCTACCTTCGCAACATTCTTCGTCGGGCATCTCCCCTGCACCAACCGCCACGATGAGCACCTCTGGCAACCACACTCATAATCATGCCATCGACATCCCTCGTCGGCCATCCCGGTCGGGAATGTCGGGCCCGGAACGTCGTCGATCTACCAATCTGAACCCGAACAATGGCAATGACCCGGCTGGAGATTCCATTCCCTCCTCCCTCAGCCACCATGCGCTCCGGGCGTCTAGTCCCTCCAGTCTTGGGGGCAGCCCGATCATCGCCACCGGGGACCCGCACCACCAACGTGCCCCTTCGTTGGGAGAGCTGCACCAGGAACTCGAACAGGAACAAGAGGCGCAAGTGGTATGATCACTGGAGTGTCATCGTCCCATTGTACGAGACCGTGGATTCCTGCAGGATCGCTAATTATTTTTTGTTCTAGAACCGACTCCTGCATATGATCCGCAGCCAACAAACTCAGTTGCAGCAATTACAGCAACAGCAACAGTCTTCACACAACATTGCCATCGATGATTCAGCCCCTGCGCTTTCGCAGCTCCCCTCTGTCCTACCTCTGCTGCCAACCGGCGGCAGCCGACCATCCGCGCAGATTACTTCGGCATTGTCCAGCCGCCGACCATCGCGACCGTCTAGCCAGGCCGCCTCGCCCAGTCTCCGGCCATCGGTTGATTCTCCCCGCGGCGTAGATGGTCTAGAAGGGATTACCGGCCTGGGCGAAAGTCCACGGCGAGGAAGTAGGGATGAGGGCGCTTTCTACCATGCCGAGGCAATGATGCTCAGCAGAGAGAATCAAATTCTTCGACAGCGGATCCGCGACTTGGGTAAGTCTCGAAGCTCTCTTAACATCAAGACTTTTTGTTAACCAGCTCGACAGAGCGCCAGGTTAGCGAATTGAGCAGCCCTACTGCCGGCGCTTCCCAGTCCAGCGCGACCCCAGCCAGCCAAGGGGCCGGACCGGCCGATCCCCATTCTGCTGCCGACACAGAATCCGCCGAAGATTCCACGGACAAGACATGAGCCCGAGAAACATGAACCCTTGGTCCATGCATGTCCGGCATTTTCACCAATTATCGCCTCTCCCCAAACGCCGTGAATTACACACAATCTTATCCGGGAAACCACATTTTGGACCAGTCACCCGATGGCCATATTTGCTGTCCGATGCATTGTTGGCACACAAAGTGAGGGATCAAGTGCAGGACCATGCAGCCAGCCCCTCGAGGCCCATCTGCGGCTGCAGTGTACTGGTAGATGAGCGTCTTCACATGGTGTCGATCTGGACTCATTACCGACTCCTTTCATTTCCCAGCGCCGCGTATGTGATATTTGTGATTTCAGCGTGGAAGTTGTATCTATTATTGACCATGTAGTCATAGTTACGAATAACTAAACGAGAAAACAACAGATTCATTGGCCTGCAGCTCTCCACAATTTTACGTCCTGTCATTGACGCCAAAATATAACCAGTAATTTAGTAATTCTACTGTTACTCTAATATCGCTTGTCGTTCTTGACACCATCGCTAGTTCGGCATCATTCGAGGTATAGTATAAACTTCCCGCATTTTATCTTGCTCGCTGGTTCATGTACCTTCGTGTATTTTCTTCAATGACATCCCGCAGAGCGTCGAGAGTTAACGGCGCCGGCTTCTGCCTTTGTGAGATACAAAGGTCCAAACGCTCCCGAAGGAGATCCCCCCATTCGAGTTGGATCCGTTGATGGGAATGATTTCTCGGAGGGGGGAAAAGAGTATAGATTGTAATCAGCACCTTGTAAATCCCACAAAACAATAACGAGTTGGCTCACCATCCGTTTTCCCCGCTGGCGGCTTTTGCCGGACTCCGAGTCGTAGGTGTATATTTCCACAAAGCCAGATTGAACGCATGTTTGATTGTTTCTGAGAGGGTCCAGTTTCACTAGCACAACAGTCCCTATCTGTCCCTCTGACCCTTGTAGCAGCAGATCTGCATCACACTTCAGATCGTCGTATTGTTCGCTATCATCAATCTCGAACGCAGTCGCCGGCCATATGTCATCGCCTTTAGGGATCAGGAAAGTGTCGGGGATTTTTCGACTATAGAATATTCTTAGAGTCATGATACAGGAGAACATGTTATGGTTGGTGTACCTGTCAGAGTAGATTCCAAGGAAGTTCTGAAGCTGGACATTTGCAGGCATCCTGAGTGATCCCGGGCGCAGATCGCCTGAGGCGGCCATTCCAGACTCCCATTCCTTTATCCAGTCGGCGAGACTCTCGTGAATCCACGAAGGCATATAGAATCGCAGGTACCCACTCGCGGAGTTGTAGCTGTACCTTCAAACGTAGTCATCTATTAGCGAGCGCACGTAGACATGATTAGTACACTTACTTAAGTTTCTTTCCTTCTAGAAAGTCTTCCACGTCGTTGAATTCGCCCGGCGTAATAAGTATCTTCCCTTGTTCTGACTTTTGCAAGATCTCTTCAACTTTTGAGATTACGTGCATCCTGACTGGTTCACTCTCTGTGGGAAGGACGGAAAGACGGGGATGGTTCATGGAAGACATGGCTGGCAGGGAGAGAGATGACAACGGAGGAGCTATGTCCAGAATTATCGTGTAAGGAAGGTGTCAGTTAAAAGCCACGACCAAATCGAGCGGAACCCAAGGGTGAGGAAGGAGGAAATCGAACGAAAACCGCGAAGCACGTCTGCGGCAACCGAAGGTGAGGAATGAAGGAATCGAATGAAATGTGATACGATCTAACTTGGGGTGAATGTTTACACATCAACTACCTTGGTAGTAGAAGTCTAGCTTAGAAATCAGTAAGTTGAGCTGCTTTGTTTCGACTGTCTGCCACTCACCATTTATTTTCTTGTTGGAGTACGTCATGAGGACCGGAAGACAACGGGATGATGTACATAAAACATCCGCTGGAATGCTAGGTTGTTATAAGTACAAACTTCTAGTTAATAACTTTATCTTGGCTAAAAAATGATACTTTTCATTCAAAATTAGTGTGTCCATGCGTGTGCTTTTCCCTGGTTTTGCTATTCGATTATGTATTTCTATTTCACGAATCAAATAAAAAAACAGCCCGCACTAGAACAGTCGATTCCTTATGATCTATAGATCTGTCTCTATACATTGTACTCTTTTCTCCGAAAAGCAGACACTAATCACACGTCGGTGGATCCTGCATAGCCTCTTTCATCACCCGTTTCAGTTCCTCTCCATCAATCTCATTCACAAAGGTCACGGTCCTCAAGCCCTTCGGCGCAAGGGCCGCCTGATAAAGATGAATATTCCCATAATTAGGACTACCGTAGGAGATATCAACATCGATATAGGCTACAATATTCCCGTCAGTAACTTCACCACCCACAATCCAATCAGAGAAGAGACCAAACATACCGGTAGTGGTATTCACAGCAAGGGACTTATTCACCATCAATGCAGCGGCCGTCTCATCCCAGAAGGGAAACCTGGTGCCGTAATGGTCATGGAATAGTTTTGTCAGCGGGTTCTGCACTTCGTAGACTTCGTCCAGATACTCCTGCGTGGACTGGACCTGGTTGGCGACGTTTCCGGCGATGATGATCTCCGGGAAGTCCGCGTTCAGAGCGATCTTGGCGGCTTCGGGGTCGATCATGAGGTTAATCTGGTGGGATTGTGAGCCATTATTCTGTGAAATCCTGGTCGTAATAAATTAGGCTGCATTTAACTGTTGGAACGTACATCGGAATTGATATTTGCTTGTTCATGGTCCCCCGTAACCTGCAGTCTGTTGACATCCACATACCCTCCCATAATGACGAGTTCCTTCGCCAGGGACGCGAACGACGGATCACTCCGCACAGCGAGAGCGATATTAGTCAGAGCTCCCGCAGAGTAAATGGACACTTGATGCGGATACTTGCGAACCATCTCGACCAGGAAGTTCGCGCCGGTGGTCGAGTCGTTGACGGTGGTGTTCGGGAACCCTTCGACGAAGGCACCGCGGACTACGCGATTGGGATCGCCCGAGCTGGGATCGTTGCCTTCCGCCTCGGCGGTTTGATTTTCGAGCGCAAAGGCACCTTGGAAGGGGAGGTCCCCGTGGATAGTTTCCCATGCCTGGAAGCGATGGGGGGTGTTGATGAGTGGCCAGGTGGCCCCGGGGTAGACCGGGACGCAGGTTAGATTGGCGATTTCGAGGTTGGCGAGAGCATGGAGGGCGCATTGATGTTGCCAAGTATTCCCGGTGTCTTTATTTCTGCTTGTTAGTTGGAAAGGTGGCTGGGTGGTAGGGTGCGTACCTGATATTAGTCCGAGGATGTCAACGTCGCTCTTGGCTGCTATGAGAAATGGCAGAAAGCTGACAGGGCCCCAGTCATTGTCGAGAATGGCATACTTCTTGTCTTCCTGGCTGGCTACGGGTGAACCGAGAGCGATAGATGACAGCACAAGAAGCGATAAGCAACCGGACTTCATGATGATCATAGAGATTGTTGCCCTGGCGTTCTAGAGCCCTAACTTCTCCCCAGTATTTATACTGAACATCCTCGATGTGGGTCAAGCTGTATCCGCAAGATATCTCCGCATTCTTCATTTCTGAATGTCACCTTGTGCGTGAATTATTGAATGGACACGCTCAATGCACAATGACATTGTGGCATGTAGTCTAAGCCAGCCGGCTGCAACCGTCGAAGTGGATACCATTCGACAATTCGACAAATCGAGGGCGATCAAGCAGCCGATCATCGTCTAAGTTCCCCTTGCCGGCAGATCTTTGCGTGCAGGATTATTCTTTTTGCTAATGAGCGTTCCCCGCGATAGTCAACTCCGCATAGTTGAGAGATTAATGGACCGGGGATGATATCATCTGTTGGCCGTCTCTCTAGGCGTAATTGCTAGTAATGTACACTTAGGAATATCGAATGATGAAGGTCCGATTCTTTCAATCTAGCTGCA